GGTGCTGATGAAGGACGAGTCCGGACCCCTGCGTTCGCACCCCGTGAATTGTGGTGTAGTCCGGTAGCCTGGTAGATGATACCGAAGATGGCACCCAGCATCACACTGACCATCAAGCGAGTGAGGTTATACCGTCGGAGTTCGCCAGTACATGTAGAAAGAAGCGACGACACAGCAACTTTGAATTGCGCTGTCTTAGTCGACGCGAATTGCTTCCGTAAACTTAAGTTCGGGGAGATCTGCCGACGGCCGAAGAACGCCATATTGGTTGAGATCTTGCTCCATACAAACGTTTAGATCACTTTTCGAAAAGTACTCTGCGAAATCTATTCCATGAGTATGAGAAGAGGCCCCGACGCCAGCGCCAATGCACTCGAGCATCCATGTCGCGGGGTTGTACCCAGGCTCGATCGGCGTCACTCCTGGGGCTGCCTCAAAGTATTTGATAAGGTTGCACGAGTCTTTGCCGAGTTCTCCGAAAAACACCATACGTCCGCCACGTCGAAGAAGCAACAGAGAATCGAAGATTCCTCACCGATCTATGCCAATTCCGTAGCATCATGGATACTGACCCGTCTTCTGAACAGTATATTTTACATTTGCAACCACGCGCGCCTCCGATTGACGTTATTGTGGGAGCTATGCGCTCAAATGAGACTATAGACAAAACCTCCCGGGTAAGATGGTGCTCAGCTTGCAGATCACGTTAAACCCTGGTCATGTCTACCATAATATGTGAGCACTCAGGATATTGTGTGCGGTGTTGTTTTGGATCATAACATAAGTAGAACACGGAATATATATTTTATGTTGCTTTGAGTTAAACAAGCTAAGCCCACCGCAGCGCAGCGGAGGTGGTCAGCCTTCTCTACACCAACCAACCATGCCCTAGCGTCCGCGGAGGGGACGCCCAGACCGCTAGTTTCCCGCTCCCTAACCTTGCAGCGTGTCTGTCCGTCCGTCCGTCCGTCTGTCAATCAGTCCGTCGCTTTCCTCTCTTTCTGCTTTTTCCTACCCTTTCGCCTGGCTACAGTCGGCCTGGCTAATACAGTTTCCTCCCATCTTACCGACCGCGCCTACCTTTCTGACTCGACCTAACTATGCAAAAATTACAAATATATCCAAAAGCGTGACACAATTAACTCGCGCCTTGATTGGGCAATACCGACCGACCTGCGACACTGACTGGATCTGTCGCACGATCAGACTGCCTCTCGCTCTCGCGATTGGTCGTAAGGTAAACATTTCTGCTGAGCACGAAACGCATCGATTGGTTGCAAACAGCCAGCAGATACTTGATTATTGACATTCAGCTACGCAAAACCTGTCGTATGTACTGCAAATCGGGCACAGTAACCACTTTATTTTCTAAGAGCTCTGCACACTTTTCAAATAGAGATATTTATTATTATTAATGTAGACTTCACAGACCAGTATTTTGTAAGAGCTCGGCGATGCTATTTCCCACACATTTTCTAAAGTAGAGACGATAGTATTTTTAATATTAAAGTAGACTTCACGACCAGCGCTTTTTGTAGCGACTTTGCGAATATATATTTTGTACTTTACCTGGAACTCACCACTGCCACCGTGCAATGAAGGCGCGCGGCTGCACGGTCATTGCACTATCTGCTCACGTGCACCGCACCCGACGAATGCATGCGCGCACGGTACATAGTGAATTTAGTCAATTTATATTGCATGTAAAGTATGTATATGCTTAAAAATCTGATAATATATTATAGCAAAGCCAAATTGTAATATTTAAAAACATTTTAATATTTCTTCCGAACGCAGAAAGTCGGCGTCGAGTGCGGGGATTTCGACCCCCGCAGTATGCCTGCCTTCGCTTTCGCGGCGAAGAAGGCATCAATGACCTCGCACTGTTCGCGCAGAAGAGGCCATTGCCTCGTGACACAATACTTTGTGCCGGGCACGAGATCAATCCCATGCCGTACGCCTCGATCGGGTGGGAGTTGGGTCGGTGGGTGTTTGTTCACCACGTCCGCATACTCCGTCACCAAAGGATTCACCGGATCCATGGGGTTCTTAAGGATCTCAGAACCCAAGCGCGTCTGACGCTGCTTGTTTAGGTCTTCCAGGACGTTTTCGTCAAAGACAGAGGAGGCGTTCAGCTCCTCCCGAGTGGTCTCAGGTCTCATGAGTACCATCGCAGCAATTTCTCCAGCCTTGAGGTTGGTCAGGAAAGACTCCGCCGTCATTTCCTCGAGGTTCAGTATCTCTGCAACCTCTGGCAACGGTTCCAAGTGGACACCAGATGCCTTGACGGCTAAAACCGGTCTCGCCATCGAAGATGTGATAACACTCTTCCACCGGCCTTGTCGGAGGAGCCCGGGCCCTGGACTCCGAGTCGCTTGAAGCGACGTCGATCGGAACGAAGTTCGGATCCGACTTGAGGCGGCGGCGGCGGCGTCTTTGTCGACGGCGTCTGTGACGGGGAGCGTTGCTGCCCACGTCTAGGGATGTCGTCGCTACGACATCCGAGGAACTCGTGGCCTCGTGTGGTACTGTTGTACCCACACAGGAAGCGTGTTCAACGCCTTCCTCTTTAGTTAAGGTCTGGGCGACCGCGTGTGGCACTGTGTTACCCACACAGGAAGCGTATCCGACGTCTTCCTCTTCAGTTATGGTCTGGGCGACCGTGAGTGAAACTCTGTTACCCACTCTGAACACGCTGTTCTCAGTGTTCATGACAGCTGCAGCTGTCTGCGGAACTAAGTTACCCGCCTGTGGACCTAAGTTACCCACTTGGCCGGCGCCTCTTCTATCCC